AGGTGCAGAGCCCAACAGCACTGGGAGAATACGTTGGAGGGAAGTAATGTTCAGACATTAGGGACAATCGATGCAAGAAATCTCAGACCAAAGGCCAGCAACTTCAACCCCGACTTCAAACTTACAGCAACCCCATGTTGTGGTTCCCACTTTCATGCAAGGCCACGTGTTCTAAACAACATTGTAAAAACCCCTCAGCCGCGAACTCCCAAAACCATGAACCCAAAGCCCCCTAGAAGGCCACCCAGCTGATGGGGCAACTCCTGGAAGTCAAGGACGTTCACACCCACCTTCGAGGCGTCGCTTCGGAAAAAGCCAACAAAAGGGATCTGGTAAGAGCAGCTCGTCATGTCTTGCACATCGGGAGAAAATGAAGTCATCCAACTCCTCAACCCCCAAAACCCGAAGCAAACACAAAGTTTTCACGATCCAGGGCCACTGGCCGTCAAGTTGAAAACTGACTTCTTCGGCTGGGGTGGAAGGCTGATTGGGTGTTGTAAGTTGCAGGGGTCAGCTCCAAACAACAATCCTACTTCTGAAGCCACGACCTGTCTCGATGTCGCATGACTGCTTGGGGCACCAAAAAAAGCCATCGCCCCATACCACACCCTAGTTTGCATCATCGGAAAAGAAGCAATCGCGACTCCTACCTCCTCAACCCTCTTTGTGACCGACATGTTAAAACAAGAGTCAATGTGTGCCGTTTGGCGCAGTGCTGGGTCTGCTCCAGTCACTCTGCTTTCTGGGAACCAGCCTTCCCCGTTGTCGCAACCACGGACCAAGCATGGCTTGGCGCGAGACAACTGCCAGCACCGAGATCGCAACCATGACACTACGCTCGAAATCCGAACTGGGTGGCATGACCTGGTCCCCCCATCAGGACGCTGATCGACGAAGCCGACCAACCGATTTTGAACGGGCCATGGTCCCAAATGAATGCAGCGCTCTGCGTGGCGAAGGGGCTCGGAGCTGCAACCACCCGACGAACAACATGAACCACGCGGCCCTGGCGCAGCAGTGGTCGCTGTCACCGGACATCCAACAGTGCGACATCGGTCCTGTCATGAGGGTCTAGGCAAACCGACCAATTAAACCGACCATTCTCCGGGTGCCCGACCAAGAGCGTTCCGAACACGGCCCGCACGCGCTCCACCACGTCGGGCAGCTCCAGGGCCTTCAGCGCTTCAGACTCTGTTGGGGCACACTCTTTGAAGCTGAGACTGCCTTTTGACTGCCACTGCCCTCGGACACTTGGAATTGGTGCGCCTCGGCCTCCTCCAGGCTCAGCGCCCCGGGTGCCTGTTATGTCCATCGGCTTTTGGGCCTTTTTTTTAGCTCCTTTTCTTTTTTTCTTGGGGAGGGGGGAGAGAAGGAGGGGAGGGGGCAAGGGGCAAGGGGAGGAAGTTGCAGGCTTTCGGGCTTGGGGTTTTGGAGTTAGGAGATTTCAGGGCCTTGGGCTTCAGGATGTTGGGCTTCAGGGTATCGAAGGTTGAGGGGGCAGGGCATGATGCGCCTGGGGAGCTTCTGCGTGGGTCGTGGGTGTACCTCCCCCTTATAGCAACAAATATCGCAAGAGGTACTTGCGACGATCACGCCGCGTAACCGAGTTGAATCTTATTGAAAACGAGCGAGGGTGAGAGCAAGTTTGAGGTGCTGGCCTTATGCAGCTTCCTGTCACAGCTCAGAAGCCATGCATGTCTGTGCTGGCGATTGTTTAAAGTATCACAAGCCCTAGCCGCTTAGGGTTTCGCGTTCAGGGCTAGTGAGCGATGCAACCACCAAGAAAAAATCTCTGGGAGCAGGGACCGCGGCTGTCGCCAAGCCCCTCGCCTTAGGTGCTGCTTGCTGCCGTTTGAGGCTATTTGCAACTCTTTGCTGGTATCAAAGGTAGGCTCGGGCCTTGCTTCTGTAGCAACTTGGGAGTTTGCCCGACAACTGTCCCCCATTGCTAAGGTCCTAAAGGCCTACAGGCCTCCGAAAGCTCATTACACTAAACTTAGGCCCCGGCTGCGGACTCCTTGGAGAGCACCATCTGGTGTGCTGTGCACTTGGCTGAACGAACGTCCGCAACCACCTGCGGTCATGTGCTTTGAGTCTGGTCATCATTGCACCGGGGGGTTGTACTATGCCACGTCTTCTTGCCGTTTGCTGTTTCCGTTGCCTTCTGACACCTTCTGACTCAGGTGATCCACAGTGCTATGTGCAGGACATGCTGGCCATGCCTCGGGGGTCACGGTTCGAAACTCGTGGGGCTTTTGACGAGGCATGTCTGGCCTCTGTGATCCTGATGTTTAAGGCTTTTTACACTCGCGCTAAGGAGGATGGATGTGATTCACACAACAGCTGACATACCGTTGCCTTTCAAAAGCCGCATGTCAACAACCTACCCTGTAGCAACGAGGCGTTTATCACCTCAACATGCCAGCTTGACAACGAGGTTGCTTGAGGCACACCTGAACTCTGCATGTCTTCCGATACCGTAGCCACAACCCATTCTGGTCCTCATCCAGCTCCGTTGGAAACTGACTGTGGGCCCCAAATCAATGCCATCACCACTGGGAGCAAGTTCTGTGATGGTCTCAGGGCTCAATGTGAACTTCACGGCTTGCCCATCTTCTGCCAGTGGAAGCGTTAAACTTCGCATCCCATCCTCAACCCTGAAGCAGCCCTCAAGGACTTTTCGGGTGTTTTGAAGCAACCCGCAGCCTCCACAACAAGGTCATCGTTGTGGGAAGGAAGGACTTGAAACTGGCTGTAGAAGATCCCGGAGGCCTCCACAACTCTCGTTAGGCTCTCAGAAAAAAGGATGGGAAGAAAAGGACCTGTAGCTTTTCTACTCTGCTGAGAAGTAGGATACAAACGAAGAACTCTCTAGCTTTTTAGTCTAGCTTCCAAGCGTACTTGCAACACACACCTGAACCTACAAGTACACCCCAAGCCCGTTAAAATCACCAGTGCTCAGAAGTCCAGAAAAGCCCGCATCATCCAGATCCTCAAACGCCGTTTGGCTCTCGAGGTTGAAGGTGGAAGGTTCAGGGGTTCGTGGCTCCCCGCTGGCCTTCACGTGTGCGGAGAGCTGGAAGAGGAGCGCCTTGAGTGTCTCGAGCTTCTTGGCTTTTGGGTCTCAAGGTGCATGGGTCATGTGTCACGGACATGAACCACAAGCACTCCAGCAAGACGGCAGCTTGACGCGCCACGCACGGCAAAAAAAAAGAAGCATCCTCCACTTGTGGCCAAAGTACGCACCAAACCTGGACTCCTCAAGCCCCTAGGGGGCCCCCCCAAACGCATCCTGCATCCTCGAAGCTCTTCCAAGAAAACCCTTGGCAAAACCGCGCAAATCTGCCTCGCAGGGATCTGGAGGCAGCGAGAGCCTTGGAAGCCGGGGTTTGTGGTACCAGGCTTCGTCTTAGCGGTTTCCTCGGGCCTACATTTTGAAAAGTATCCCCCAGCTGTTAACACCAAAAGCTGTAGCGGCCGGGCCCGGGGGTTCCCTCTTCGGGCTGCATGGGCCGTGAAAACGTAATGTTGTGAGAACCCCTTCGACCTCTATGGACCGGATCCATTTTTAACTTCGAGCCTGTAGCAGCTGTAGCACACCAAGCTCCGGGCAACACCCGATTGACGCAGCGCTGCGCAACCTGCACGGTCAAGGGTTTGGGGTAGACTCTGGTCAATGCCTGGAGCCTTCAACCCTGATCTGAACCCGAGACGCCGAACCCTAATTCCCAAAGTGCAGCAGTGCAGGGCGGTGAGATCGAGGGCTTTCGTTTCGGGCTCTGATTTTCAACCCACTCCGGTAAACCGTGAGACCAATCACATTTGACAAGAAGAATATGGGTATCAGAAGAACCCATTCAGCTCTCCGACCGTGCCTGGTGGAGCCAAAATCCCAAATCCTAACCCATAAACCCTGAAACCCGAACCCTACAGCCGAACGCCCAAGAACAAAAAGTTTCCATTCAAATTGGCCTTCTCCAGCTTGGTCCGGTGGAGCTTGAGGTAGCTAATCTGCCGTTAGGATTCAGAGGGTCAGGGTTTCGGGAGATTATCTTCGCGCGAGTTTCAGATGACATTTCACTGACAAGACCGGCCTCAAACCCACAACACCATCCAAAACGAACAAGATGGGCCGATGCCCACTTCTGACAGAGTCCCCTAGCTGAGCTTCGCAGCCGAAGTTGTCAGTGACTGCAATGTTCCAACTTCTACCGTGAGAACCCCGGGCCTAGACGTCAGGGTAATACAACTCCTGAATTGTTTGATTAGGTTGTTGAAGGCTCAGGGTGTAGGGTGCAAGGTTCAAGGCTCAGAGCTCTTCATCTTCCCTGCAGTTGCCAACAGGCCTGGTCTTGTCGATGCTGTCGTAAAGCCAACTTGCGCTGCTCTTCTGACTCGACATCCACGGCTCCTGGCAACATCAACCCTACCGGAGGGGAGGGGTGTAGGGTCTAGGGTCTAGGGTTTAGGGTTGAGGGTCTAGGCCCCCGGACGAAAGCGAACAGGCACACAAGAGCAGATCAAGCCACAGGGAGGGAGCCCCCAGACACATCCGGACATCGATTCCTGAAATGAACGTGGATCATAAACCCTAAAGGCCCTAAATCCTTGGCAGTGTATGGAGGCACCTTCTTCCTCTTCAGCATCTGCATCTGCCGCCATACAGAACCACCAACTAAGAGAATGGGCTTTGTACTGCAGTAAACGGGTCAATATCTTTTGGGACACAGACCCTACTTCTTCAGAACCTGAACATGATCTCGCAAGCAGCCGGGGGAGTCACTGTGCAATGATGTACATGGCTGGTTCTACATAGTTGGCTTCATGTCGGTGCATGTCTGATCTGCATGCCAGCGGAAAACCGCTCCACCATGAACGTGTTTCTCGGATGCCAGTGCCGGCACAGAGATGCAACAAACACCAGGTGCAAACTAGTCCACTTTTTTCCAGTCTGGCGAGGCTTGCCGGCTGACTCCTGCCCATTCATCCTCCACAACTACTTACTTGCAGCAGAGAGCCTTTGCAAATCGGCCAGTATCCTTGTTCCTGCAAATTGTGACAGTCTTCCCGCGGCGCAGAAACGTCTCCAATGAAAATACAGCATCTCCACACAGGGCCGTCTTCTCATCATCATCCATCGGCACAGTCGTTGAAGTAACCTCCTCCGGCTCCTCAAGCTCGTCTTCGGTACTCACCTCGAAGGCCTGCATCGGGCTCTCCTTCTGAAAGGCTTCCAGGGGGCTCTCCTTCGACACCTCTGCAACAGGCGTATCACTCGTAACATAGAAAGCGGGTTTCCATGTTTAAGCATACTCTATCGCTTTAAGGCACAATGCGTTGGCTCACTCTTTTCTTCGACTTGCCGCCTCAACCGGAGGAAGGCCAACCTGGCACCGCCAGGCTCATACTGTGGGACATGCGAAACACATCAAGAAGCACGGCCCGCGTCCATGCCTCCTCGATCTTGGTGCAGCACTTCACTTTGCCGTTCTCACGGTACTTGTCGCCCGGATTCCTTTGTTGCTGCTTGCTGTCAGACCGAAGCCACAGATGTGGGACACAAAATGTTTGTTTTTGCTTTTTTTCTCAAGCCAGCCGAACAAACAAGCTCGAAAACCCTCAGGCCCTAAGACAAGCTGACAGCTGACCGAGGCTCACTGCTGGGCTTTCGCACCACGCTTGGTCATAGAGTTCGCACTTGTATCCCGGCATCGTCTCAAAGTCCGGACCTGTGGCGGCTTGCCGAGGGGTTGGGGGCACAGCATGCACTCCGAGGTGTGGACCATCCGGTTGCAGGTGCTCCTTGCGAACGCCCAGCACGTTCCTGACAGGGCTCGCCGCTTCAGCCTTGAAATGCTTCGTCCTTGATCCTCCGGCTGCTATGGACCTTGCCTGACCACAGCCAGGCTGCAAAGGAATCCAAGGGACATCACCATTTGCATCACGGAACACCAATGAAATACTCAGACAACTATGGGTTTGAGCTTGAATCAGCTACCGGCACGCAATGCTCCTGGATGTGGTGCAGCCGATTCATGTCGTTTGACAGGCAACCCCACAAAACCCAAACTCAACACCTGAGCCACATAGCATCCCCCTTTCGGTTGCCCTCTAAACCCTAAACCACGACCAAGGCCTCACCATGCTAATCTTCTCTGTATTGTTCCAATTTTATCGGATGATTTTCGAAGGCAATCCATTTGTGCAGTGGGACAAATCATTTCCTACATCAGAAAATTGCAAATTTGAGACAAAAACTCATACAAACAGACCTGTTACACTTCTCGATTTGTGCGTGTCATCCTTGCGCACCGCGAAAAGCCTCTTGGAGGAGCCCTGCTTCAAGAATTGGAAGGGGAGGGCTTCTTCCACAGGCTTCGCAGGACGACAATAAACGACGGGGGTGGAATGTAGAATAATTCTCTACTCTTCTTCTCCTATGGGCTTTGCAGGACAACAAGAAACAAAGGGGTGGAATTTAGAACTCTTCTTCTACAGGCTTCGCAGGACGACAAGAAACGATGGGGGTGGAATTTAGAATTCACTCTTCTCTTCTTCTACGGGCTTCGCAGGACGACAAGAAACAAGGGGGGTGGAAGTTAGTCTTCTTCTAGGGGGTGGTGGAAATTAGAAAAACTCTCCAGTCTTCTCTTCTTCTACCAACTTTGCAGGACGTCAAGAAACGATCGGGGGTGGAAGCAGATAAATTCTCTACTTTTTCTTCTTGTACACGCTTCGAATGACGACAAGAAACGATGGGGGTGGAATTAAGAATAATTCTGTACTCTACTCTTCTCGTGCAAAACCGAAGGTCCTTTGGTACCTTTTGCCTTGCAAGCACAAGGCCTAGCACCCAACCGAAGGACGCGAGGCGGACTTTTTTCTTTTCACACTTAAGCCTTGAGCCAAAGTTCAAGAAGTGCACAAAAGTCAGAAACGAATTTCAGAGACCTTTGTTTGGTGTGTTTTGTTTGCTTGGTGGCGAGTACGCACCACTCTTTGCTAGCCGCAGCCGTTTTTTGGCGTACCGTTTTCCGTTGCAATTTTCCTGCCGTATGGCTTGATTCCGCTTTGCACGCCTTGCAAGTGTAGTTGCTCCACAGCCTGGTCAAAAGCATCGTTGATGGACTCAACAGCGAAGAGGCACCATTCAATCTCCTGCAGTGGAAATGCCCGCGCCCGACCCAGTATGCCCAACCACTTGATGCACGAGTTCCTCGATGGGCAGCCTGAGCTCCCGAGAGGATTTTTTGGGACAGACCCAGGGTGCTGCACCTACACCCCGTCATGAACCCAGAGCCAGGTGCCAGCGCATGTAAGTATCATTGCTCGTATACCACTCCTGATAACTAACCTCGCTCCAGTTCAGGATGATGGTACGAAAAGGCAGAGCACCAGACCTTGCCACCATGCCCAACCTCTGCCAGCTACGGCACTGGGGACTGGGGATATGTCAACTTCAGGGGTGTGAACGAAGAAATTTGGCTCTTCACACACAATGTTGCGGACCCCGTGATCATGGCTCGACTAGAGCAAACTTGTTCACTTTCACAGAGTATGGACATCACATGTTCTGCTTAGCACCGCAGGACGTGTTCTCATCCTACCCAGAACACAAGATATGTGCGTGGTGCTGCACAACACGTCACCCCCACTGCACCAGCCAATGCTGGCCAAGTACAACACCATCTCGGGCATCATGACCATGCAGGCCGTCAGCAACATCGTGTTCCGAACAGTACACGCGGAGGTTCAACTTCACAGAACGTGGCCTTCCATTGACGCTACCATCGAAAACCATGAGAGGCAGATCACGTTTCAGCTCGAGGACGATTGGCCCACCAACATTTGGACAGAGTATACAAGTCTCGACAAAAGCAGCTCATGTTCTTCATCGCCGATGGGACCCACTATTGTTCACGTTCACGGACCCATGTCACGTCACCGACAATGTCGACACCAAACGCGCCACGCAACCCTACATCGCCGGGAAGTTCTACAAGATCCAAGAAGGAAGCAAGCCGCCGGTCCTTTCGATCCCGGCCAGCTGCGTAGTCGAACAACATGCGGACTGGGCCTGGTTTCAGTCCCATCAACAACAGGAACCTCACCGGTGGCTAGCACTACCTCTAGCTGTGACCAGCAGCCCCAGAAACCATTCCGCCTTCTGGACGGCAGCAACAGACTCAGATCCACCGCGCCGACATCGAGCGCAGCACACCCATCAGGCTGTGTGGCTCAAGTTGGACGAGAAGCTCACCGCCCTTCTGCGAGATCCTCCACTAGAACCACATCAAGCTCACGCCACGCCCAATCAAGAAGAATGGGAAGACTTCATCTCTCATCGACGAGCATTGTTGGAACTTCAGACCGGCACTACCTGTGACCACGAACATGTCCGACATCTATGGCACCATACCAAGTGAAAGTTTTGTTTCACTCGCCTAACTCTTAAGAATGAACGCTTGTCTAAACATGCCCTTTCCACGATGCTGACACCATGTGTGCCCGCACGATACATACATGTTGCCATGATTGCACACACGTCATGATTCAAGTTGAAGACGCAATCTTGCCAAGGATGTGCCGAAGCCCACAGATGAACGATCGCGGAGATCAACAACAACAACGCACTCGATCCTCACGAAGACTCAGCACACAACGACCATCCAGAACATCCAGGAGCAGATCTCGAACGCCGAGATTGTCCCAGGCGAACAAGATCCACGCCTCGGCCCTTCTCAAGACCGTCGTACAAAAAGCCGAACAACCAGAACCAGATCCACCACCCCAAGACCGTCAGGAATCAGACAGTTCCAGCCAGCATCATCATTGATTCCTACATCTTTTCGCAACCGAACCACGATCTACCAGATTCTTGGAATTCCAACGGCATGTTTTACAACCAAAACCCGTACGGAGTGCCACTCCCAAAAACCGTTCCAGTTATTTATTTTAAAGTAAAACGGCGGTGAAGCTTTGACAAGTTGCGTACGACGGAAAGAACAACTGCATGCTCAGGCAGATGGCCAACAGAGACAGCCAAGAATAGAAGTCATTACCGGACGCCGTTGTCTCACATGAAATTGTCCACCTTTATCTGCAACCGCAACCTACCTGTGGAAGCCTTGGCCGTGAACCTGAACTCCTTCCTTCATTTTTTTGGCATCGAGCTTCTTTACCACATCAGCGGCGCAGTAAGCAAGTCAAGACGATTGCTTGTTAAGGGTGAAACTAAATGTCAGAATAACGACCAAAACACAAACGAAACAACAAACTCCTGCAAAATAAGCTCTTGTATCACTTTTTAAACCTACAGTATACAAAGGATGCCCCCAAACAAGACTTCCAAGAAGAGAAATAGATGACATGGCAAAGATCATTGATTGGTTACCAAAGACTATTAATTGTAAAATCCCAGAAATTATTATGGAAATGATCCCAAATGCAGGAATTATTAAAATGTAAACTTCTGGATGTCCAAAAAACCAAAATAAATGTTGATAGTGTCTAGGATCTCCTCCAAATATAGGATCAAAGAAAAGTGTATTAGAATGAAGATCACCCAATATTAAAAGAAGTGTACCAGATAAGATTGGTAATGTGAATAAAAGCATGAAAGCTGTAATCAAGAAAGCCCAAGGAAATAATGGGATAGTCTTTCATGTCAGACAATAAGATCTCAGATTCAGAATTCCAAAAGTTAAGAGATGTAAGTAAGACATGAAGATATACCAGAGACTAATAATCCAAGTATAAGATTTCCTGTGCTTGAAGGTGACAAAGACATAAAAGAAGTGGACAATGGTGGAAAACATGTTCATCCTGTACCACCTCCAAATTCTGAGATTATAGAAAGGATTAGGAAAGATATGAAAGTAAAAGAATTAAGATAGAAAAATTATCTGGGATATACCACTTCTGGAGACCCTTGAAAGATAGGTACAAAATAATTTCAAATCCTCCAAACAAGCCAAGGCATACTGAAAAGAAGATCATAAGAAAGCCATGCAATGTAATGCATACATTATAGAAGTTCTGGTTGCTGGAGATATAATCCTATTTCCTGATGAATATTTTTCTATTCTTTTTTGGATGATATTGATGTTCCGGAGATTCCAAAAATGAATCCAGACAAAAAAACTTAAGTAAGTTTGTATTAAAAGGTCTGGTGGTTTCGTTTCGCCCCCTTTAACACATTTCATGCTCACAAGTTCACTTAGCTACAAGCTGTTGGTTCTTCTCGTTTTGCAGGAATTTGAGTTCTTCTGCTCCGAACTTTGAATTCTCTCATTCTCTTTGGGCACGCAACACATGGTTCTTCCGGCAAGCAGCACCGGCAGCAGGAGGGTGTCAGCATTGCCATGACAAAAAACAGGATGGAGACATCAAACCATCATTTCTTCACAACCAGTTCTAAGAGAAAGACTTAAGGTAAACCTCCGCGCATTGAAAGCATTCTCTGCCTTCTTATAAGAGCTTGAACTGGGTTAGACAAATTGGCTCCAAGTTTTTCTATGCACAAACGCCACTGCGCATAAGCTGACCAAACACAAGTGGCACTTATAACAAGCTAAGCAGACAGCTCTATTGAGAAACCTTCTCATCGTTTAGAAATAAATTTCTTGGCGCAATTTCCAGCTGACTTTCACGTATTTCAAATCCACCAAAAAATGGAAATGCATGAAGAAATTTTCGGCGGGCGCCGACATCTCAAGCGGTGTTGCAACCGCTTCACATGCTGTCTCTTCAAGAGAGCGACATCTCAAGCGGCAACCCAGACCAGATTAAGTCATACATTAAAAAACTGTCTTGTGAACAATTTGCATTGGATTCCATGCTGCGCATAATTCACAGCATTTTTGGCTTGAATTTCAGTTTTTTTCTTGTTTCTAAAGATGGCACGAACTGCTGCAATGGCAGCAAGATGGTCCGGCGGGCG